CTGTCATATACATACATACACATAAATGTTACACATATCCTATATCACAAATGTCAAATGTCATTGTCCTAACCTTTAACATATATCAGCCTTTCCATTGTCCTATTAAGATAAAATGCATAATTCACTCTTTCTGGTAACATATTTCATCATCCTTTAACCCGCTAACAATATTTGCATCCATGGCACTGCAACGCTATAATTATCTCCTTGCAGTGAAACGTGAATTTAGCAATCTCTCTTCTTTAATGTTTAATTCACTTCTTTTCATTTCCGTACGTCCACTTACTCTCTGCAGCGCGATCCTTGCAATGAAACGTGAATTTAGCAATTTCTCTTCTTTAATTCACTTCTTTTCATATCCTTACGTCCACTTACTCTAGTTTTCTTCACTACACCTGTACAGAAGATTACAATTACCTTTTATAATAACGAATTTCCATACACCTTTTTCCGTACAGCTTTATATATACGTCCGTACACCCTCTTACTCTAGCTTTCTTCACAACACCTCTACAGAAGATTACAAATACCCTCTATAATAACGGATTTCCATACACCTTTTTCCGTACAGCTTTATATATACGTCCGTACACCCTCTTACTCTAGCTTTCTCCACAACACCTGTACAGAAGATTACAAATACCCTCTATAATAACGAATTTCCATACACCTTATTTCATACACCTTTTTTCCATACAGCTTTATATACACACGTCCAAAGCGAAATATTTTATACACGGGGTCCCTCGCATACAGCTATTCAGGTATTCTCGTATTCTTCCCTTCTTTCAGCAGTTTCCTCCATTCAGCGGATGTCCTCCAAGGGCTCTCTGTGTATACATACCGCATGTGGATATTTTGCGTTTTCGTATTCTGACTTGGGTTTTGAAGTTCCAGCTATAGAAAAACGCTTTCATTTTATTAGCCATTTCTTTATATATATATATATATATATATATATATATATATATATATATACTATATATATATATATATATGTATATATCACACACATATACATACATATACATATGTATACACACACACGTATTAATATATGTATGTATATATATAATACGTATATATGTATATATGTGTGTGTGTGTGGATAGATAGATAGACAGATAGCTGTGCGTATATTTTCTTCATAGTGTCTGGTCCCTAGTTTCCAGACAGATAATTTTGATAGATTACTATTATCCAAAGTTAACCAGAAATAAATAAATATGTTATATACATGTACATAAATAGTTAACTGTTATGGCAGGTGACATTTATTACTGTGCTTCAGATAATAAATACAGTGTTTACATAATATATACATGCGTTTCATTACAACTTGCATATCAGGAACACACAATTATATACATATTTACACGACTTTGATCTCTTTACAACGTACATTGATTTATGAATGATTATTAAACAAAATTCCACTTACGATGCATCATTTTTTTCAAATATTCAAAATTATAATTGTTTTCTTTTCTGCATCTATTAGATATATGCAATTTACAATACCATAAACTGTAAATTGTAGAGACTGAGTTCGTATTAGGCCAAAGTTTAATAATAAAGACAAATACCTAAATATTAGGGAAATATACTCCCGAGGCGCGAATTATGTTGTTTCCACCAAAGGCAATTTTCCTAAGTTCACTATTATTATGGCGCCGCAGTTCTTCATAACTCGCTTCCCCTTTCTTATATCTAGGCTCCCTTACCGCTTTCTCTTCCTTCCTTAAGAACTTTTTTTACACTCGTGCTCCCTCTTCTCTGCCTTCAGCTCCTGTTTGTCATTTCTCTTGGTGACTTCTTTTCCTTAATCCTTTTCCCTGTTTTTTTTTTCCTGTTATCCTTCGTCACTTTCTTGTTCCTCTTTTTTGTATAATTTTATCTCATTTCATCCTCGCTTTTCATTTAATTTCCTCTTTTATTTAATGCCTAACGCTTTATTGTCATGAAAACGCTGGTTCATTTGACTGCACAGCTCCGAATACCGCTCTCGACCTTTGACCTTTAACACAGCATCTCACATCATCCTCTCCGAATCAAGGTCGCTGCCGCTCTCTTCCTCGATGACCTGGCTGGCGAGCTGACCCAAAAAGAGGTCACAGTTCTCTCGGCGAAGTCCTCCTCGGCGTCAGGTCCCCGCCGCGGTCGCCCTCAACAGATCTTCTCTCCTCTCCTCCTCGACCTCTCGCAGCTCTCCTGACCTCGAGCTGGCGATGCCTTCAGGGACGCGACGCTCGAGGGCGAGGTGACCCGAAGGAGGGGGCGCCCGGCTCTCTGCCTCGCCTGGTTTTCTGAAGCCCTGGCGGCGGAGGCGGTGGAAGGGCGGCGATCTGGGGGCGGGGAGAGGAGAAAAGAAAAAAAATGAATAGTTATATTTGCATGTTTGCGTGCTGTGTGTGTGTGTGTGTGTGCGTGTGTGTGTGTGTGTGTGCATGCATGTGTGTCTGCGTGTGTGTGTGTGTGTGTGTTGTGTGTGTTTCCGTATATATTACATGTATATGCGTTTGCGTATCATACACCAACATATGATGGCAAATAATAACAAAAAACACAAGAAACACCATACCTCCCCGGGTTGCGATTTCTGCTGATGCCTGACCGGGCTGACCACACGTACTTCTGGGTCCCGTGGCCAGGCGTCAGCACGAAGGGCGGCTGACGTGAGAGGGATAAGAGTTAGGAGGAGGTAGATTAAGAATCACACGTCATCCATATATATACATAAATACATAGATACATCTCTCTGTTTCTCTCTCTTTCTTTCTTTCTTCTCTCTCTCTCTTTGTATGTGTGTGTCTTATCTCTGTCTTTGTCTCTCTGTCTCTGTCTCTGTCTCTCTCTCTCTGTCACACACACACATATGTTTATGAACACATAAAACACAGCAACGTGTAATCATTGATTTAAAGGAACTAAGAAATGAAACATCTGTTATATATATATATATATATATATATATATATATATATATATATATATATATATATATATATATATATTCTTTATTTTTCTCTTTTCCTTTTTTATTTCATTCTCTCTCTCTTTATATATATATATGTATGTATATATATATATATATATATATATATATATATATATATATATATATAAGAGAGAGAGAAAGAAATGAAAAAGGAAAGAGAAAAATAAAGAAAGAAGGAAAGAGAAAAAGAAAGAAAAACGGAAGTATAAAAGAAAGAGAAAAAAAAAAAAAAAGGAAGAGAGAAGGAAAGAAGGAAAGAAAAAAAGAGATAAGAGAAAAGATAGAGAGAAGAAAAAATAAAGAAAGAGAGAAAGAAAAATAAATAAATAAGAAAGATTATAAAGAAGAAAGAAAGAGAGAAAGAGAAAGAGAGAAGGAAAGAAGGAAAAAAAAAGAAAAGAAAGAAAGAGAGAAAGAAAATAAAGAAAGAAATAAAGAAAATAAATAAAGAAAGAGAGAAAGAGAAAGAGAGAAGGAAAGAGAGAGAAAAAGATGCGTCGGCAACTCAGATTCGAGAGACGGAATTCCGTAATTGGTAATTTCACGACTCGACTCACTCCTATAAAGCTCAGTGTTGGCGGAGAGTCAAGTAAAGTATTTATGCGATATTTATACCTATAATTAAGAATAAAGGAAGAGAATAAGGGGGGAAAGCGATAAAGATTAGACGAAGAGAAAGGATGGAATACCCTTTAACTGAGAATAAACGGAGAATAAGGGGAAAAAACATAAAGATTGGACGAAGAGAACTAAGAATAAAAGAAGAGAATAAAGGAAACAAACGATAAAGATTGGACGAAGAGAACTAAGAATAAAAGAAGAGAATAAAGGAAATAAACAATAAAGATTGGATGACGAAAAAGGATGGAATACCCTTTAACTAATAATAGACGAAGAGAATAAAGAAAAAAAAAACGATAAAGATTAGACGAAGAGAAAGGATGGAATACCTTTAACTGAGAATAAACGAAGAGAATAAAGGAAAAAACGATAAAGATTAGACGAAGAGAAAGGATGGAATGCTAAAGAAAAATCAGGGAGACGAAGATAATATATAATAAAAATGGCATTAAAGAAAGAGGGAATAAATGTAATCAAAAGTAAAAGTGATTTGGAAACTTGGTATTAAATGAAGGTGGTTTCCTTTTTCTTTAATTATAGAAAACCGATTCTATTTGAATATTATGATAGAAAAGAGTGTGTGCGTGTGTTTGTTGTGTGTGTTGTTGTTTGTTGTGTGTGTGTGTGTGTGTGTGTGTGAGTGTACATGTGTGTACGTGTGTATACGTGTGTATTTATATGTGTGTATATTTGTGTCAACGTGTATGCGTATTAAAAAAAACAAGAAAACAGAAAAAAAACAGCACAATAAACTAATTATATTATTATTATCATTAATTAATTAATTTATTTATTTTATCTATTTATCTTTTTTTTTTTTTTTTTTTTTTTTATCCCTCGCAACCTCTCCAACCCCCCCTTAGTCTGTCAGTCACCCACCTTTCCCTTGAAGGCGCAGGCGAAAGTGACCCTGAAGGCTCTCCTGAAGTTGTGGTGCATGAGGGCGTAGACGATGGGGTTCACGGAGGGTTGATGTACATCATGTACTGGCACACGGACATGAGGGTGTCGTACGTCTGGCAGGGGGGGGGGAGGTGACGGCGGCAGCGAATGATTTATTGGCAGGGAAGAAACACGTGTATATCGCATGCACACAGATACAAGAATAGACAGATGTGCGCACGTAAATACACACAAATACACACAGGCGCACACACACACACAACACACAAACGCACACACAGACGGACACAAACACACGTGCATATATATATATATATATATATATATATAATATATATATATATATATATATATATATATATATATATATATATATATATGTGGGTGTGTGTTGTGTGTGTGTGTGTGTGTGTGTGTGTGTGTGTGTGTGTGTGTGTGTGTGTGTGTGTGTGTGTGTGTGTGTATTCCAACGCATTTGCGAAGCGAAAAAAACTAAACAAAACAAAACACTTAGTCTTCTGATTCCTCCCTTGGGCCTAGCAACACGCTAAGTACGTCTTATTCAATGCATAATTTCACAGACACGTTTCCTCCTCCAAGTGAATAATGAATGTCAGTTCGACAGTCAAAACTCTTTCTGGATAAGCTGAACAAAACTTGAACAGTTTTACCGAAAGTTTAGTTGTTGATTTTATTCACTTTCTGAAAGGTTAGGTGTTGGATTCATCTTTTTACTGAAAGATTAGCATTTGATTGGATTATCTTGATTGGATTTAACACCGAAAAAAAAAGTTTTTGGTTTTATCTTCTGAAAGATGTTTTTCATTATCTTATCATGAGAGTAAACGAGCCACTGATTCTTATAATGTTAAAGTAATTCTAAAAGAAATTGCAACTTCTGAAGGTCCTCCTTTTAGTGGAGATGTAAATAAGAAAAATAGGAAGAGAAAGAAAGAAAACTGGCAAAATCGGCTTAAATCTACGGAAGTCACTCGCCATATTTCACTACATCACAGTCGAGATGGCGTTACCTCTCATCTCTCCTCTCTCTCCTCTGTCGACTCCCTCCTTCACTCCCTTCTTCCTTTTCCCTCCTTTCTATTCTTCCCTCTCTACTTCCCCCCTCCCTCTTCCATCTTTTCTTCCCCACTAATGCATATGAGTTAAGATTTCTGTATTCTCAACGAGACTTCAAAAAAGGCTTAGGGTTCAGCCTTATAAGTCCATAGTTGATACAGACCAACGGATGTTATAGAAATATTTACGTAATGGCGCTGTATATAACGTATCTAAAGTTGTTTAGATTGACTTGATTAAGAGACCGGAGAACCCAAAGCGTCTCTCCTTTCATAGCAACAATTTGCTTCAAATATGTTTTTTATTATTAATACATAGTGAATTAGGCTCTCCACTTAATCGAAGGGTTTATAATGTATCATAATGTAATGATTTCTTACGGCACAAAATTCATAACTTTGTTTCAATTCAGATTTTAAACATGAATCAAACATACTTGAACACGCATTTATCGCTCAAAACAAATAAAAAAAATATTGTTCAGTCTCTATACTTTCATAGTCTAGTAATATCATATATATAAAGTCTTACATTTCACTCTTACATTTCTATATAGACCAGTATTATCATCTATATAGGATATAAATGTCACACTGTATATGGTCTAATAATGCAACCTTTCTATATAGACCACCAGGATTTTATTTCCATAAAGACTTGTCTAGTGATATCATACTTCTATATAGTCTACTGATGTTATATCTTTATATAGTGTAGAATTCACTCTCTAAAATCGATGTGTGACGTCACTGAATTCACTCTCTAAAATCAGTGTGTGACGTCATTGAATTCACTCTCAGTGTGTGACGTCACTGAATTCACTCTCTAAAATCGATGTGTGACGTCACTGAATTCACTCTCTAAAATCAGTGTGTGACGTCATTGAATTCACTCTCTAAAATCAGTGTGTGACGTCATTCAGATCACTCCTTCTCTGTAAGTGTTTCCGAAAAAGAAATAAGATGAAGAGAATTATTTTTTTTCGACCTTTTGATCTTCGTTATCACGGGATCCGGAGAAAAGTTATCAACCGATGGATTTTTTAAAAGTAATTTCTATCTTAGATCTTCAAAACTTTATTTCTCTTTTTATATAAGTTCCTCCTTGAAGTTTTGAATCCCTTTGTATAAGACTGAGCAGGGAAACTAAGTGAGTTACAAGAAAGAAATGAAAATAATTTAATCTTTCACGGGAGTATATAGAATAGAAAAAAAAAAACTTTAAAAGACAAGGGTATAAAGAATAGAAAAAAAAATAAAAAATAAAAGACAAATTTGATAAAAGAGATTTTTTTTTTTTTTAGATGTCTCTATTTTTATAACTTACCACGCCCCATATTCCTAAGCCCACTTATTAATATAGATTTATATAATTTTATGTCCTAATACGATAATTATTTTATAGTGATATGATGATCTTATAATGTATAATTACAGAATATCTGATTTATGCACTATGAAATCGTTTTGTAAACCAATGTAATTACTGCAGTACCAGCCGATATCAATGTAAATTAGAAATAAAGATTATTATGATAATCACGCTATGATATTATTATTATGATATTATTATTATGGTTATGATAATTTACTCAAATATCTGCTTGTACCTTGAGCATTCACTTCCGCCCTAACTTCCCTCCTTCCTTACTCCCCCTCACTCTCACCCCCTTCCTCTCACATCCCTCCCACTCATCACCCCCCTTCCTCTCACCTCCCCCACCCCCTTCTCATCTACCCCACCCCTTCTCACCTCCCCCACCCCCCTTCTCATCTCCCCACCCCTTTTCACCTCCCCCAACCCCTCCTTCCTCCTCTCACCTCCCCTAACCCCTTCTCTCACCTCCCCACCCCACTCTTCCCTCATCATCACCCCTTCCCCACTCCCCCACCATCTCCCCCACCCCTCACCTCCCTCCCACTCCCACCCCCCTCACCCCCTCACCTCCCCTCACCCCCTCACCTCCGCCAGATCCTTCTTGAGCGAGCCATTCTCCTGGACGAAGGCGTTGCGGGCGAGGGTGACCACCTGCAGCGGCGTCCAGCAGGCCACGAACACCAGCACGACCACGAACATCATCCTCACCGTCCGGGCTTTCAGGCGCAGGATGGCCGGGTGCTCTGATGGGGGGAGGAGGGGGATGGGAGGGAGGGGAGGAGGAAGGAGGGGGATGGAGGAAGGAAGGAGGATGGGAGAGGGGAGAGGGAGGAGGAGAGAGGAAGGAGGATGGGAGAGGGGCAGGTGGATTGAAGGAGGGAGGGTATGGGAGAGGGAGGGGAGGAATGAGGGGTGGAAGAAGTGAAGAAGGGAGAGGGAGAGAGAGGTGGGAGGGTATAGGAAGAGGGAGGGAGGGGAGGGTAAGGATGGAGTAAAGGAGGGAGGAGGGAGGGAGGAAGGAAGGAGGTTGAAAAGAGGAGGATGGAAGGAGGCGATGGGATGGGAGGGGGAGAGGAAGGAGGTTGAAGAGGAGGTGGGAGAGAGGAAAGGAGGGTATGGGAGAGGGGGAGGGAGGGAAGGTTATGGGATAGGAGGAAGGAGGGAGCAAATGTATATGAAGGAGGGAGGGATTTGAGTGAGGAGGGAGGGATGGGGTGGGAAGGAGTTGAAGAGGAGGAGAGAGGAGAGAGTGAGTAAGGGGGGGAGGGAGAGAGGATGAAGGGAGGTGGAGTGGAGTAGGAGTGGAAGAAAAGAGTAAACAGAAGAGGGAAAGTTGAAGAAGAAGTAAAAGAGCAGGAGAAGCAAGTATAGGAAAGAAAGGAAGACGACGAGGAGGAGAGGAAGAGGAGGAAAGGAGGAGGCAACGACAGATGAGAATCAGAAAGAGTGAAAAGAAAGGGAAAAGGGAGAGGATAAGGGAAAGAATAAGACTATATTATTAACGAATAACAATAAGAAAAAAAGCACATTAACATCAGCAAAGACCCTATTTACATATTCCTATCTTTGCAATACGGCTTAAAAATGGGTTCCCGAAAATCAGTGACCCTGTATCCTCCCAACAAAACAAACTATATCTCATAAACGGAGCATTGCACGCAGAAATCACACCCATTTCTCCGTTGCGAAAACTTCGCTAAAACACACCCTCTATTCCTCGACTCCCCTCTGCCTATGACCTTAATACCATACCCTCTATACCTCGACTCACCTCTGCCTCTGACCTTATTCTTATACTTGTTGAAATTGATGAAGATGAGGGCATAGCAAGCCAGCATGACCCCCAGAGGAACCCAGGTGAGGGCGACGATGCTCACAAGCCACCAGACACGCATCTCGTTGGCTTCCTCACAGGTGCGTTCGGTCACGTCACGCCACTTGTGTACCTGTGCGTTCCAGAAGGGGTTAGGTGACGCGAGAGAAGGAGAAGGAGGAGAAAGTGAGAAAGAAAGGGTAGGTAAACAGGTAAAAAATATGATAATGTAAGAAAAAATAGGGAAAGTAAGAAACAAAATGAGAAATGCACTGATTGGTAGAATTTGGAGGTACCTGTGTGTTCCAAAAAGGGTTAGGTGACGCGAGAGAAGGAGAAGGAGGAGAAAGTGAGAAAGAAAGGGTAGGTAAACAGGTAAAAAATATGATAAAGTAAGAAAAAAATAGAGAAAGTAAGAAACAAATGGAGAAATGGGGTTAGGTGTCGCGAGAGAAGGAGAAGGAGGAGAAAGTGAGAAAGAAAGGGTAGGTAAAACAGGTAAAACCTATGAGAAAGTAAAAAAAAGAGAAAGTAAGAAACAAATGGAGAAATGGGGTTAGGTGACGCAAGAGAAGGAGGAGGAGGAGAAAGTGAGAAAGAAAGGGTAGTTAAACAGGTAAAAAATATGATAAAGTAAAAAAAAGAGAAAGTAAGAAACAAATGGAGAAATGGGGTTAGGTGACGAGAGAGAAGGAGAAGGAGGAGAAAGTGAGAGAAGAAAGGGTAGGTAAACAGGTAAAACCTATGAGAAAGTAAAAAAAAAAGAGAAAGTAAGAAACAAATGGAGAAATGGGGTTAGGTGACGCGAAGAGAAGGAGAGGAGGAGAAAGTGAGAAAGAAAGGGTAGGTAAACAGGTAAAAAATATGATCAAGTAAGAAAAAATAGAGAAAGTATGAAACAAATGGAGAAACGGGGTTAGGTGACGCAAGAGAAGGAGAAGAAGGTGAAAGTGAGAAAGAAAGGGTAGGTAAACAAGTAAAAAATGAGAGAAAGTAAGAAAAAATAGAGAAAAGTAAGAAACAAATGGAGAAATGGGGTTAGGTGACGCAAGAGAAGGAGAAGGAGGAGAAAGTGAGAAAGAAAGGGTAGGTAAACAAGTAAAAACTATGAGAAAGTAAAAAAAAAAAGAGAAAGTAAAACAAATGAGAAATGGGTTAGGTGACGCGAGAGAAGGAGAAGGAGGAGAAAGTGAGAAAGAAAGGGTAGG